TCTTTTTCCCACCCCTGTATTGGCAAAGGGTCTGGGATTACCAGCACACACATCCCCAGGTCTCTGCCCTGAGCACATGGAGCTGGGGCAGATGAACTATCTGGCCTGATCGGGACCTTCTAAAGAAATGGCCTTAAAGATATTAAAAACTATAAAAGGGACTTTGATAAGAGTTTTTATGTTGACTGAGAAATAGAGAGAATGTAGGAGACTAAAGTAATAAAGAGGGAAAGGGAAAGAGAAATTTGTCTAAGAATGTCTAAAAGATCAGAGGAATAAACCAAAGGTATATAGAAAGTTATAGAGGGTTAAAGCAAGCCATAGAAGGTCAGAGGAAAATTGTCGAAGGTCAGAGAAAAGGTTGTTAAAAGTCAGAGAACAATGTAAACTGTTTGCTATGGTTTCTCATGTCTACAAATTTTAAAAATTGGTAAAATAAGTTAAAATTTTAACCATACTAAGTTAATTCTGATTTAAAAGTTCTGTTTATTTCTCAAGTAAATTATGTATGCTTGTTTTAAAATGTTCTGTTTCCTGGCATAACCTAAGTTCTGTTACAAGCATACAGCTAAAACAAATGGTGCAAGTCACCTCCATTTTATAGCCAGTCACACGGCAAACTGGTCACATGGCTGACTGGTAGCCATTTTGCTAAGGTTGAAAAAAAAGATACTTAAACCGACATCTTGACTAAAGATGACTGCATGGAAATTAGAGGTACCATCTTAGAAACAAGTTTTCAATTAAGATTTAAAATGTTAATGCTTCTATATATTACAGAAAGACATTAAGGGATTTTAAATTTCTTTTTAAAACCAGTTTTCTAAATGTTTATGCTTTTTTAAAATGTTTTTATTAATGTTTTTACTTAAAGAGCTTCAATTTAGAATCATTTTTAAGCAAAGCCTGACAATGAAGGTTCTTGTTTTATAAAAGCTGCTAATCTATTATAAGATGTTACAGTTTATGTTTTCAGAAGTTAAGTTTAGGGCGTTTGTGGCGCATACCTTTAATCCCAGCACTTGGGAGGCAGAGGCGGGTGGATCTTTGAGTTCAAGGCCAGCCTGGTCGACAGAGCAAGTTCCAGGACAGCCTCCAAAGCCACAGAAAAACCCTTTCTCAGAAAGAAGTTAAGTTTAAGCACGCAGCTAAAATGTGTACATGTAGCTACTGTTTAAGGAATATAAGGTAACTCTATGCAGTCTTAAATTTAGCTGTGCTAAGTTTCAAATATTTTTCTAAGTTAAAACCAGTTACAGTCAGGCTGAAAATTAATTACAGAAATAAGACCTTACCCAGCCACCTGTATGCTTCTTGTATGCTTAAGGCAAGTAACCAAACAGACCTCTAATGCTTCAGAGATCTGCAGAATATGGGATTTAAATTGTTATCTTTAAAGTCTCCAAAGAAGATTATGAGGCACCTCAGTTCCTGCACCTGGACCAGTGAGCCTGCCAGCCGCCTGCCAGAACCTGGTCTGTGGACAAAGCTGCTGGACACTGGAAAATTGATTGCACCCCCTTTGCCTAGGCAAAACAAGGTCAGTCTTTTCCATGTCCCTCTTCTACAGTGAGAAAAAAAAATCCTCTCACCTTATAGGCCTGGTGAAGATTGCTGTTCTTTGAGACATCTGCCTCCAGCTGTAATGGAGAAACTTGGGTATAGCTAACTGTATATGAACTGGCTTCTGTCACTTTTTTGTAGATTCAGATAAAATATACCCTTCTAAGATCTCTGAAATATTAATGGTTGTCAGCTTGACAGCATCAGACAGTCAGGTTCACTATAGGCTATAGTCAGTATGTTAGCTGATAAAGTAGTGACTACCTATTTGTTCAGGCACAAGCTCAAGGTTTTTAGGTTTACTTTGGTTGTTATCTAAGCATAAACTTAAAGGGCTTTTCATCAGGCCAAAGGCACCTCTGTTCTTAAACAGGTTTCTGCTTCTGGCAGACACATCTGAGTATATCAGTTGCTGACAACAGGCTGTTCCTAAATAGACTGCGAACCCTAGACTTGCTGTGGATGTGAACCAGTCCAGCTGATGTGGACACCCCCTGTCTCTGCAACAGAGTCTGCCAACAGCTTCTGATGGATTCCCCATTGCCTAAATTCCCTCTTTTGCTTTTGACTAGCATTTCAGCCTTCTTAGGTCCCTAACTTCATCCCAAAGTCAGCAGGAAATAGCATGGGAAAGAATACGTCGCCCATTTTCCCTGGTTGAAATGCTAAGTCAGAAGAAACTCCCTTGCATGGGGATGCCAATATCTCTCACTCCCTGATGGGGACTCGAGAGAGACAGCAATTCCATGATTGGAATTTCAAAAAAAAAAAAAAAAAAAAAGGGGGGAAAGGAGGGCCCCCCCCCCCCTTTCCGCCAGCCATAACAGCCGAACACGTGCTTGTCTGACTTTGTCTTAGTCACTAGGAGGTTAGATGCCTGCCTCGTGGCAAGGAGACAATCAGAAGTTAGCTGGTGGTGCTATGCTTTATCATTCTGGGTGTGCTTTACCGACAAGTGCACAGCAATGACTCGAAGAGCATAGCAACCACCCTGGGAGGGCCTATGGGCCATAACAACCAGTTGACCAATCAACACAGGGCAAACCCTCCAAGCCTGGAGGCACACCAATCCTGAGCCTGTGCATACCCCTAGACACTCCCTTTATGCTGCCCTATCAGATCTCTATGCAGACACTTCGAGCTGTCTTTCTAGCCATCTGCCATGGTGGGTGGATGAAAGAACCGAGCTAACATGGGGTTAGCTCGTTAAACAACTATAATAAAGCCTCGTGCTGTTTGCATCAAAAAAAAATATTAAGCAACAGATTCACTAAATGAATTTTAACTATGAAATGAAATACAGAATTAAAAATTTCCTTAGATATAAACATACATAAAGTCAAAGCCTTAAGTAAAAAAAGAGTAAGCAAGCAAGTCTCCCAAACAACTATTCACTGATTCCTGAAATTGAGCTGTGGAAGCAAAATGCATTCCACTTACACAGTAGTTAATTCCCAAGGGGCAGGGAATCATCTTCTAAATTGCAGGGGCTTAAAAGGTAGAAAAGAATGCCATTATATCCACACTTAGGCAATTGTAGAGTATTTAAATGATGGATGAAAAACAATTGTGGGATACTGACTAGTCAAAAAAACGAAGCAACTAACACTCCTACATAAAAGCTGTCAATAGTTTCCTGAGCTAGAGATATCATTGGGCCATCTTTGAGTTATTCAGAGTTGTCTGTAGAAGAATCATTTAAAGGTTCACATTTGTGTTATAAATTTAGGGTGAAGACTTCTGTTGTTGTTTCCTTATAAAACTGTACCCTTTATCTTTTTGGCACAAAAGATACAAAGTCTCTTTGGTATCTGGGATATAAATCAGGGGCAAGAGTGATGGAAGGCAGAGAGAGCCGGTCCAGCAACACATGCAACCAAGAGTAGACACCACTTTGGATCTGGCATCCCTTGGGGAGTATGATTGCTATGGAACAATCTTTTCTACACCATGAATATGTATTACTTTCATTGGTTAATAAAAAGCAGAAGGCTGGTAGCTGGGTAGGAAGTTAGGCAAGAAAGTCAAATTGAGAATGCTGGGAAGGAGAAGGGCAGAGTCAGGAATCCCCAATCAGATGCAGAGGGAGCAGGAGATGAACTCACCATGCTAAATAAGGTACCACCACGTGGCAGAGCATAAATAAAGAATATGGGTTAACTTAAAATGTAAGAGCTAGTTAGTAATAAGCCTGAACTATCAGCCAAACATTTAGAAGTAACATTATGTCTCCAAGTCAATTATTTGGAAAGCAGCTGCCAGGTATTTGGGAATAGGCAGTCCAAGAGAAATGTCCAATTACATACGATTTTCATCTGGGTCTTCTTGTCATTTTCCTTCTGGTAACTTTTGTTATGCTTGGAAAATTTACTTTTAAAGAATTGGGAAAAGATCCATAACAGATGTTCTCTTCAGGATAAGATGGACACTAACGAGGCTGGAGAGATGGCTCAGTGGTTAAGAGCACTGACTGTTCTTCCAGAGGACCTGGCTTCAATTCCCAGCACTTACATGGCAGCTAAGCCAAGATCTGACACCCTCATACAGACATATATGCAGGCAAAACACCAATGCACATAAAAAAATGTAAATAAATAAATAAATAAAAGTTGGACACTGAAAATAGAATCAACTGTTCAGGACTGAACCATACTGAAGAAGGCTCCCCTGGGCTGGCATGCTAGTCAGCAGAGTGTCTGAAGCAGATCACGGCCAGACACAATTAACAGTTCAGCATGTCCAAATACACAGTCTGTTTCAGAAGCAAGTATTTCAAGGACTATTTCTATTGGTAAGAGCTTACAGTGGACCTGTTGATATAGCTCAGTTAGTGGGAAGTACTTGTTCAGCATGCATGAAGCTCTAGATTTGATCCCCAGATATGCATACCTGGTGTGGTGGTTCATGACTTTAATTCTAGCATTCAGGAAGAGGGGGCAGCAAATTCAAGGCCTGCCCCAATTACAAAAGAACCTACCTCAGGGGAAGAGGTGAGTGGGAGCATTACAAGAATTATTTTTCTTTTTCCCCATGTGGTGCTAGGGATCTAATCTAGGGCCTTGCTTACTCTTAACAAGCATTATACCACTGAGTTATACCCACAATCCTCATATAATTGCTAAAGGAGTAAAGATTTGAACTGAAATCTAGTTCTAATTATTCCATGCTATCATCATGGATTTTGATTTTTGTGCTTTTTGTTTTTACTTCATGAAAATAAGTGCAATGGGACCATTCATTGCTCAGAGCCTATTAATAGGGAAAAGCTGAAAAAAGATGGCCATGATGAAAATACTCAGGCCAAAATAAATAAGTAAATGAACAAGTAGATGTGGTTAGCATTTAATAACAAACACTGTGCTGAGAAGCACTTAACATAGAGACAGAAAAGAAACCCATAAATAAGCCAAGATAAAAATGAAACGTAGAGACAAAGGAGCCATTAATTTATGAAATTTATTGTTGTAAAAAGCTGTTCAAGTGACAACAAAGAAATGTGCTCTTCCATTTGGTACAAAGGTGCTTCATGATCACTGCCTTGTCTCCAAAGCATAAGGAAAAACTGGCCAAGTCCACTGTTAAGCCATCCACTCAGGTCAAGCAATGCATTGATGAGTCTTTCAAAGTGGTCCTGCAGAGAATGTGTCCTTTGAGAGTTTGAGAACTGGCAGAGGTGATCTGAAAGAAAACCCAGCAAAAGACAATGTAACCTGACAGTACCATGGATGCAGGACATGGATAGAGATGACAGGAAGTTCATGGTACTTATGTTACCTCAAACCTGAAAGGAAGACACATCAGACAGAACGGCAATGTATATGAGGTAAGAAGCCACACACTCCATCAGGTGTGTGAGGTCTGTGAGGGACTATGAACATTACAACCACAGTAATTAATCGGTGAATGGGGCACACGCTGAATACCTGATTGGAATACAGACTTCCTTACCCACAACAGAGTTTCAGAGGAAGACAGGTAATAAAAATGATTTCAGGCACTAAAAATTACTCTAAAGATTGTGGGGGACAAGTGGTTAATAGGCATGGGAATTAGGCAGGAAAAGTTGCTTCTAAACAATGATGTTCAGAGGTGAGCACGGAGAGGTAGCCTCAAAATTAAAAGAAAGAAACCAGGGAAAGAGCAAGAATCTCCCAAGCCAAAACAGCATGTATAAGTTCCTGAGAACAGAATATAAGCAACAAAAAGGTCAACAGAGAATGAGTGAAGACCATCAAGTTGGAAAGTAACCGGTACAGATCACATAGGCCTGAATCACTCTCTGGCTCCAGTGAAAAGCCAATGGAGGGCCCAAGCTTCAGGGTAAATGATTTGAATCAGAAAGATCACACCAGCTGTCATGGGGCAGACCCTAGAGGAGAACAAGAACAGAAGCAGAGAAGGTGAAATTTCTAGAATTCTCTAGCCCTGCTAAGAGGGGTATAAAAGCACCTGGGCTATTCCCATGAGCAGAGCCACACTATGACCAGCAATACCCAGTCACATACCCAACAGAGATGTGCCTTACGGCACACGCACATGGAAACACATAGCACTATCACATGTACGAGCTCCTACCTGGAAACAACCAATATGGCCCATCAGCAATAAACACACAACAAACTGTTGTGATAGGAAAACACACTCACAGAACAACCACGGGGTATAAGTTGAGGAAAAGGAGGCAGAAATTCAAGCTACATACTATAGAATTCAGTTTACAAGAAATCAAAACCAGACAAAACCAAACTATAGTACAAAAGTGGGACAGGGTATGGCACAAGCCTACAGTTCCAGCACTCAGATGGCTGGGGAGTAACTAGGAAGCACATGAAGAGCATTTCTGGGTCCCAAAAGCCATTCTTTTTGATCTCAGAAATAGTTACCTGAGTGAGGTCACTGTAAGAATTCACTGGGCAGGGCTGTGGTGGTGCACACCTTTAATCTTAGCACTCAGGAAGCAGAGGGTGGCTGATCTCTGTGAATTTGAGGCCAGCCTGGTCTACACAGAGAGTTCCAGGGCAGCCAGGGCTACACAGAGAAATCCTGTCTCCAAAAGAGAGACAGACACAGAGACAGAGACAGAGACAGAGACAGAGACAGAGACAGAGACAGAGACAGGGACAGTGTTTCATTCTGTGAAATAGCCCAGGCTGGCCTGGAACTCACTATGTCCAGACTAGCCTTGAATTTGTGGCTATTTGTAGCAGGCTTTCTTGAACTGCCAGTCCCCAAATCATGACACGGAGACGTATTAATCATGAATGCTCAGCCTTAGCTTAGGCTTGTTTCTCTATGTTTTGTTGTTGTTTTTTTTTTTTTAACTTAAATTAACCCATTTCTTTTCATCTATGTGCTGCCCCAAGGTTCGTTTACCTCATCTACACACTGTCCATCCTGCTTTCCTGCTTTCCTGCTTCCTGTGCACATGGCTGGCCCCCTGCTGGCTGGTTGGGTCCCCTTTTCTCTCCGCCCCCCAGCCCCAACGATCCCGCTTCTGCCTAGATATTGGCTGTTCTCTTTTTATTTGACCAATCAGGTGCCTTCGGCAGGCAAGGTTAAATAGCAACACATCTTTACATAACTAAACAAATGCAGCATAAACAAATGTAACATATCTTTTTTTGTTGTTTCTTTGTTTTGCTGGTTGTTTTTTTTTTCTTTTTCTTTGGTTGGTTGTTTGGTTTTTCTTTTTTTTCTACATTGTTTTATTATTATTACTTACATTCCAATCCCACTTTCTCCTCCCATCTGCTCCTCGGAGAGGGTGAGGCCTCCCCTAGGAAGTCTACTAAGTCTGTCCCATCATTTCCTTGAGGCAGGAACAAGGTCCTCCTCCCCTCCCCCCAGCTCCTCACTCTACCCCATCCCCATGCCTAGATTCCACAAAGTCAGTTTGTGCATTAGAGTTAGATCTTGGACCCACTGCCGGTGGCCTCATATATTATTGCCCCAGCCACACCACTGTCACCTGTATTCAGGGAGTGCAGTTCAGTCTTATGCAGGTCCTCGGGTTGTCAGACCTGAGTCAGTAATCTCTCACTAGCCCGGGTCAGCTGATTCTGTGGGTTTCCCCACCATGGTCTTGACTCCTTTGTTCAGATTATCACTCCTCCCTCACCTTGATTGTACTCCAGGAGCTTAGCCCAAAAGTTAGTTGTGGATTTCTGCATCTGCTTCCATCTGTTTCTGGAAGAGGGTTCTAGCTTCTCTGGGGTTGTGGATTGTAGGCTGGGTATCTTTTGCTTTATGTCTGGTATTGACTTATGAGTGAGTTAATACTATATTTGTCTTTCTGGGTCTGGATTACCTCACTCAGGATGGCTTTTTTCTAGTTCCGTCCATTTGCCTGCAAATTTTAGGATGTCATTGTTTCTTACTGCTGAGTAGTACTTCATTGTGTAAATGTATCACATTTTTTTTACCCATTCTTCTGTTGAGGGGCATCAAGGTTGTTCCCAAGTTCTAGCTATCATGAATAATGTTGCTATGAACATAGTTGAGCAAATGTCCTTGTGGTGTGAATGTGTCTCCTTTGGGTACATGCCCAAAAGCGGTATTGCAGGGTCTTGAGGTAGATCAATTGCTAATTTTCTTAGAAATCACCATACTGATTTCCACAGAGGCTGTACAAGTTCAAACTCCCAGCAGCAATAGAGGAGTGTTCCCCTTACTCCACATCCTCTCCAGCATAAGCTGTCATCAGTGTTTTTGATCTTAACTATTATGATCAGTATAAGATATCTTAGAGTGTTTTGATTTGCATTTCCATATGACTAAGGATGTTGAGCATTTCCTTAAGTGTCTTTCCACCATTTGAGATTGTTCTGTTGAGAATTCTCTGTTTAGATTTGTACCCCATTTTTAATTGGATTATGTGGTAGTTTGATGTCCAGTTTCTTGAATTCTTTGTATATTTTGGAGATCAACCCTCTGTCAGATGTGAAGTTGGTGAAGACCTTTTCCTATTCTGTAGAGAGTCATTTTGTCTTTTGCTTTAGAGAAGCTTCTCAGTTTCATTAGTTCTCAATTATTAATTGTTGATACCAGTGTCTGTGCTATTGGTGTTAGTTACATTTAGGAAGTGGTCTCCTGTGCCTATGCATTCAAGGGTATTTCCCACTTTCTCTTCTATGAGGTTCAGTGTGGATGGATTTATATTGAGGTTTTTGATCCAATTGGGCTTAAGTTTTGTGCATGGCGATAGTTATGGATCTATTTTCAGTCTTCTACATGTCAACTTCCAGTTATACTACAACCATCTGTCAAAAATGTGTTCCTTTTTCCATTTTATATTTTTAGCTTCTTATAAGGTGTTCATAGGAGTGTGGGTTGATATCAGGGTATTCGATTCCATTGGTCCACCTGTCTATTTTTGTGCCAATACCAAGCTGTTTTCATTTCTGTATCTCTATATTAGAGCTTGAAGTCAGGGATGGTGATGCCCCCAGGTGATCCTTTATTATACAGGGTTGTTTTGGCTATCCTGGGGTTTTTTGTTTGTTTGTTTTTCCATATCAAGTTGAGTATTATTCTTTCCAGTTCTGTGAAGAATTGTGCTGGGATTTTGAGGGAGATTGCATTGAAACTGTAGATTACTTTTGGTAGGATTACCATTTTTACTATGTTGATCCTACCTATCCATGAGCATGGAAGATCTTTCCATTTTTTTGATATCTTCTTTAGAGACTTAAAGTTCTTCTCATACAGGTCTTTCACTTGTTTGGCTAGAGTTACCCCAAGATACGTTATGTTATTTGTGGCTATTGTAAAGATGGATATTTCTCTGATTTCTTTCTCACCCTGTTTATCATTTATATATAGGAGGGCTACTGATTTTTTTTTTTTAGTTAATCTTGTATCCTGCTACATTACTGTAGGTGTTTATCAGTTGTAGGAGTCCCCTGGTAGAATTTTGGGGGTCTCTTATGTAAACTACCATATCATCAGCAAATAGTGAAGGTTTGACTTCTTTTCCAATTTGTATCCCCTTGATCTCCTTTTGTGGTCTTATTGCTCTGGCTAGAACTTCTAGTACCATATTAAATAGATTTAGACAGAGTGGACAGCCTTGTCTTGTTACTGATTTCAGTGGGATCATTTTGAGTTTCTCTTCATTAAGTTTGATGTTGGCTGTTGGGTTACTGTATATTGCCTTTATCATGAAGGGTGTTGAATTTTGTCAAAGGCTTTTTCAGCATCTAATGAGACGACCATGTCGTGTTTTTCTTTCAGTTTGTTTATATGGTGGATTACATTGACAGATTTTCATATGTTGAATCACTGGGATGAATCCTACTTGGTAATAGTGAATGATTTTTCTGATGTGTTCTTGGATTCAGTTTGCCAGTATTTTATTGAGTATTTTTGCATCAATGTTCATGAGGGTAATTGGTCTGTAATCCTCTTAGTTGTGTCTTTGTGTGATTTAGGTATCAGGGTAACTGTAGCCTTGTAAAAAGTTTGGCAATGTTCCTTTTGTTTTTATTGTGTGGAATAATTTCAGGAGTAATGGTATTAGCTCTTCTTTGAATTTCTGGTAGAATTCTGCACTGAAACTATCTAGCCCTGGGCTTTTTTTGGTTGGGAGACTATTGATAACTGTTTGTACTTCCTTAGGGGTTACAGTTCTTTATCTGTTCTTGATTTCATTTTGGTATGTGGTACTTATCTAGAAAATT